ATTCGAGCAACAAGTCATGCACTTGCATCATTGATAGCAACGATGCTCTGGCTCCAAACCTCTGACTTATTCGGCCAGGGACAAATGTGTCTCGGATTTCTATCAGAAGGCGCTAACTTTTCACCAGCGTTGCAGAGTAGCAAATACTACCGAAGTAGGGGGGGGCACCTGCCAGCCTGACCATCCGAGAGAAGTGCCCATGACAACTGCTCGCATGTTGCCAGGCAATCTAGGTGTCCACGGGAGGGAGCATGGTTCCAGCTCATGCTGACTTCTATAAGCTTCATTCGCCTCTGCATGTTCACACTGCCCCCGACGATAACGTTTGCGAAGGTTGAGAATCGTGGATTCTCTGTCGATAGCCCTTTCGAAGTATAAAGCAACCTCACCCATCATAGTATCTTGGAGATTTCGGCTACAGGCTGTTGGGATCATACCGTGCGATAGAGGTAGATTGAGGGGCGTCTGCGATGCAGCAGGATTTCTATGTTCGATGCTATGGGGCTGCGGCGCTGTTAGTGGCTCTTGGGAGCTGCAATACGAGGCTGTTCAAATCTACTATACCTCTGACGCTTTTGTGGGCATTGGCTCGTCAGTATCTCGCCCTTATACTCAAGAGACTAGGCAGTACAGGAACGGAGCTCACTAGTTTAGCTGGTTCCATTTTCTGGAGATACTGGCTACCGCTGTCCATCTCCATTCAAGTCCGCTTGCCCCTGGTGGTGCTACTTTGTCTGGTCTATACAAAAGCACTTTGGGACTACCGCCCAATGGCAGCAGGAGTCATTCAATAGTAGCGATGTCTCCTCACACGGTCACCGCATGAACTCTGTATAGACTCAAGCATCCCCTCTGGTGAATTTGTACTCTATGGTCTGTCATTCACCAGCTAGTGTATTGCAGTCTCTTCTCTTGCTTCAAATTTTGATCTTGTCTGATTCAATGTTTCTTGTTATTAACTATCAAGTAGAGGGGTCAATCAACAGATCCAGCATGTTGGTAGATTGGCTCTCTTCCACTATCCACCTCCATCTCCTCCACCATACTACCTTCTCAGCTTCCATTCTTTTTCAGCCACACATCTGTATCTTCATAGCCCAACACAATAGCTTCTACATTCTCTATGCTGGAAACGATCCGTGACACACATCGCCTCCCCAACCACTTGTCCACAACACAAATGCCGATAAAGCATGTCCTTCGCCTGTCCGGGACTTTGATCACGACTTCATAGAGGCATTTCGTGGTCGAGGGATCTGTCAAGCTGAGCAAAGACAGCTAGTAATTCAGTCTACCGAAGGACGACATAGATAAACGACCTTCGCTTTTGAGTTCGAGGGCCGCTTTCCAAGCAAAGGAAGGACATTGAGATTCGCATTCCCCACAAATCGCCCACTTAATACATCTTTTGACCCACCTGAATACTCCATCTTCACGCAGAGATAAGCTCTCCATGCCCAAGATATGAAGGAGATAATCGTTCTCGGCAAGAAATTGACTGCATGAGCCAACGGTTGCTATCACTGGCTTCCATGTGCATTTCTATTTCGGTATAACCGAGCGTCGCTCGGCGATTGAGTGGGCCTTTCTTCAGATACCATTCCCGCAAACTCTCGGTAGGGCTATAGTCGAATACTCCGACTACTACTACCACCACCACCACCACCACCTATCATAAACCAAGCCCACTATCAGTGCTCTCCACACAAGTAAACAGGCCAAATGGCCCCTGTTTATGCCCCGCCAGCACAGTCCACACCCCCATACAAAACACGATGCTCCCGCTCGAGCAATCAACCCCATCCTCCGCCGGTTCCTGAACAATGACATATCCCATGACATCTTCATGACACCACCACCACCACCACCCCCCTTTGAACGAGAAACAAAAAAGAAATTCCCCCGTACTGGGGTTCCAACCCAGGTCTGAAGCAGGAAGCCGTTAGGTGATCCACAACCGTCGTCTCCATCTAGACCATACGGGGTGTTTGTTGGAGGTATCCGCGCTGGCTTGAATTATCTGTCCACTTTCGCTAACTTTTCCAGCGGCTTTTGGGATGGTTGTCGAGTAGCAGATGATCTAAATGCATGTAGAATATCGTTTTGGAGATATTTTGTTACGGCGGAATGCCTTACGGGCGTTGGGCTGGGTTGTGCCTGTTGGGGTGTGGAATCGTCGGGGGAATGGGGTAGAATCGCATGGCCGGATGGCGAAACGGAGGTAGGGATGGAGATTGTTACCTACAGGTTGGTGGACGCTTTTCTGGATGACTTACTGGTAGGTGGGGAATCTGTGGTTTGGAGCATTGAGAGCGCGATGGTCGAGGAATGTTATGGCGCTCTCGACAATTACCTTACTGGTTGGGCGGTTCCAACTAGCTCGATGGTGTCTCAAAAGCAAACAGCACTGAGTCAAAACACAAGAACGACAAGACGAAGAAGGAAAAGAAGGAGAAGAGCCTTGGAGGGTGGATAATGCCTTTGATTGCTGAATCGCGCACCACAGGCGCTATGAGCACGTTTTACAACAGCTCTAAGCGTGGGAGGTGTTGAGCAGAGTGCTTTTAGCAAGATGCGATGATTGTCGACGTGTGGTATGCACATAAGTCGACAGGGATATATGAATGAAAATCGCAAGGCCGGATGATACACCCGTGTCGCAATGTTCATATCCTAAGGTAGGTGCCACCCTTTCTTCTCCCTTCTGCTTGGGAACATTGGCTAATTTCCAGACAGGGTAAGCCCAGAGAAGAGGCCGAGCTAGTGTGTGGGTTTGCGTTAAGCAAGGGAGTCACTGCATATCCCGCCGCCACTCTGTGCCTGCCTACGGCGATCGATTGTCTGAGCTGGTGCGGATGAAAGCGTAAGCCTGTTCCCTAAGCCCCTACCCCATGAAGAAGCACGTGTGCTCGAACAAAAAGAAGCTTGCCCTGAGGGCAGACCGCCGAGAGGAAAGACGACGTCAAGGCAACCGGACTATTCATGGGCTTGGACACAGCCCAGTTCAATAGTTCTCTGTCATTCCACGGTCTTCCGAAGCTTTGCCCCCGAACCAGATCCGATCCTGGGTCAGGCTTCGAATCTGCTTGCAACCGCTCACAACGAAATAGTCCAGTTGACGAAGAAGAACCGGCGGGCGATCTGGACGCCAATCTTCCAGAGCCCGAATCCAAACTGAAGAAGCGTACCCTCGACTTTCATTCGGACTCCGACGACCCTACAAAGAACAGCCCTCCAAAGAAACGCAAGCCCATCCTCCCTACGACGAAGAAACGCAAGCCGTCCCATACCTCCAAAGACGCCCATCCTTCCTACGGCTCCGAAGGCATTTCCGAAGAAACCTGTTCCTACGACTCCACGTACGCCTGCGCCCGTCACTGACTCGACTCCACGTACGGACCACGCGCACCAATCATGGATTGAGCTTGCTCATTGAGATGTGCGTAACTGGTATGAAGGTACCAGTATCTTGTTCTGGAGTTTTTTTTGGATAGACGAACACCTCGAGAAAGGTGGGCTTCCTTGAAGACTAAGACTCGGCAGCAAATCTGCTGTGGGTAACCATGCTTGCTCGTAGAGGTCTGCAATAAGAGCAATGCTTATCCTACCTCAGCTCCTGGCTTAGGTAGCTCTATCGATGCCCCCTTCAGGGGTTCTTTTGCAGATTCGGAGAATTCCACAATCTGCCTTTTCAATAACGGTTCATGAGACTTTTTGAGTATCAACTCGAGTCCATGTGCAGCATAAGCTCAGAATCTGGGGAGCTGCTACAGACACACCACCCATGATTTCATCGCTTTACTTGGTCTTTTGGATAACAAACACTTTGCTCAAGATCATACAGAGGTTGATGGCCATGATGAATGAGAAGTTCGCAGACCTTGGGCTCATTGCGGCAGGAAGTACCCTGCGACATCGCCTAAATTGCCCAATACTCTTATCTCTCGTCCTCCTGCTGAGAGTTATTACTTGATTGAGAAGCAGACCCCCAACCCGATCAAGGAACTCACTGCATAACATGCCTATGCTTGAGTCAAATTATTTATGTAGCTATCTTACTGATAGCATTGCTCACCCTTTTGCTGTGAGGACTAAAGAGAGCACCGAAAAGGATCAGCAGATGCATTAGATGAACCGAGAACTTGATCATCGGTGGTACTAACTGTGCTGAGGAACCTCAAGTTGGCCCAACTGCTAGCAAGCTTTTACCCTCTCTCGAGGTTACACCGTCATATTCAAGGTGCATCGGCTACGGAAGGTAGAAGGACTTACAAGTGAGTCACCTCGTCAACTCTAGTTTTTGCTATATCACTTCTCCCAGGCTATACCCCGCGCTGACCATCAATCAGACAAGAGTACCATGAGCGACACTCCAAACAATAGGGTCGTTCCAGCTCGAACCAATACAACCCAATCCCAGAACGACCCTGCCCTTTTGCCCGGCATGAATTCGCAGTCATTCCTGGGGAATGAACACCTATCACTGGTCATGCAACCGCATGTGCTCCTTCATGCTCCCACAATTGAGGCTATCGGATTACTGGTACGCTTATCAGTCCAAGTGAACACGAAAGAAGATAACCACCGGGTGGCTTTGATCACTTATACAGATAGCCCAGTTATCTTTCAATGACAATGACTTCAACTCGTCGCCTCGCCAACCCACACCCTTACCTTGTGTAGACAATTTACAGTGCTATGCTTCTAATAAACATGTAGTTTCTCCTAGCGCCATCATTCGCCTTTGTATCAAATCATGATAGGCCCGACCAGGTTCAGGATAGAGCAAGCAGCAAAGACCTGGCGAACCCCATCTTCAGAGAAATCCATCCTACTGTCATTCCGAGTTTTGCGACGAAGTGCACTGGTCAGATTGACCCGAGTGGACGCATGAAGTGGTAGGTTGAGGATAAATACCGCAGCGGGACTGATCCTTCCACACTGGGCCGGGGAAAATCCCTCGTACAGCGACAACTTCATGTTTAACATCAACACCTTCAAGCTTCCGTGTCAGCTCACGCCAATGTTGTATCAAATATTTGGTTTAATCCCACGTGCAATTCAGGCACCAGCAATGCTTAGCTCCAGATCTCAGGCTGTCACCGACTCGATGCTGCGTCAATTACCCGACGCAAATCATGATGACAGTTAATAAGGGGTCCCCTTGCCTCTGGCATTCCGCAGAGTTTCTCTTCTCAAGAGCACTCCCTCCCCTTCATCTAGGCTGATTTTGCAGAATAATCATCTTTGATTTACTCATCATCAGACAGGATGACTCTACTAGCACCCTATCAATTTCCGCACCAGCCCCTGTGCAGTGAGCCGCCACCGCCGTATACACCATCCCAAACCCCCTCATACACCCCACAGCCACCACATCCCAGCATGCACCAGCACACACTTCCGACCTCAATATCCCCCTACTTGTTCTGTGAACAGACACCCCCACATTTGTCCCGCTCGAGCATCTCCAGATACGGTCGTTACCTTACCACCCTTAGCCATAGCGTCAACAGCACCACCTATCTTTACCGACTCTGTCCACGCTTTCCAGCCAACAGCCAACCCAGAATCTACGCCGTCAAGATCATCCCCTCATCCTCTCAGCCCCCTCCCTCTACTCAATTGTTCAAGAACAACGCACTAAACAGCAACACCATCAATCACCCCAACATCCTCCTCCCATTCCTGCCCGCAATCATCGACGATGCCGGCAATCACTACCTGATCACCCCCTACTGTACAGGGGGTACTCTATATGATCTGATCGCATCAACAACGCAGCTCGCTCCTGCAGAAGCAAACTGCTTCTTCAAGCAACTCCTTCGAGGCGTCGCGTATCTCCACAACCACCCCAACCTCCAATCTCACCTCGACCAAACTCACACTGGACCTCCATGGACGAGCTTGACTCTCAACCCGCAGGACATCCTCCTCACCGGAGCAGGAACCGTGCGAATCAAAGTCCGGGCATTCTCCCCCTCGTCTCCCCTCGCAGCGCGCAGCAGTCCATACTATGCGCCAGAGCTATACCGCGTCCCCAACAACAACACCAATATCAACGAAAACACCCCCAAAGCCCTCGACGCCTGGGCCCTGGGTATGATCTACCTATTCATGCGCACGGGCCGTCCAGCCTGGACCGTGGCCCAGGCGGAGGAGGATCGGATGTATGCCCGGTATGCAAGGGAAAGAGCGCAGGAGGGGGGATTTGCCTTGATCGAGGATTTAGGGCCTGTAAGTGTCACGTTTATCCCCTTTCCCCATTGGCCCTTGTCCTTATCCATCACGAAAATGGCCGTCTTCACGCCGCATCGCATTGTGTATTGATCAAGATCGGCGATTCGCCCCCCGTCAGGAACCATGTCGAAACGTCATCTACGCCATGTTAGATCCCAGGCCCCTTCGTCGGCTGACGGTCCATCATGCCTTGCGGTCAGAGTGGATATACGGAGTCGCAATCTGTGGAGCACGTGAAGAGGGCGACCTCTACCGAGGCGGAAACTGTAAACAAAGGTAGAGGGGGCATTTGCAGGATTCGTTGGAGTTATATTCCGTAGTAACCCATAGTTCTTCTTAATCGTACTGTACACCCGAACCACCGAGTCAGAAAGCGATCACGTAGCAGCCTAGTACCTACCAACTTCATGGCATGCGAATGCTACACAGTACGATAAACCCCCACGAAGGTCCTGACCAGCCGCATAAATCAAGTCAACCTCCTGAACTCCTAGAGCACACACACATACACACATACACTTTCTTTCTCTGTCTGCCCCCCCGACACACCTCCCAAAACCCCCAACCCCTCATCAGACCTATCTCTTCCTTCGGGATTTGAACCAGTCCCAAAATTCTCATTGCCCCTCTCCCCCGAAATCCAACGCACCCAATGCACCTCCCCCCCCCCCCGGGCGGAAACCGGTATCAAACCCTCCGAACAATATAACACATCCAACTCCTCCGCCCAAGCACAGACATAGCAAACGCAAGACACACAGAAAAAAACAAGTTTACCTCCCCAGAAAACCGGTTGACCTTTGTATCTACCCCTTGCTTTAAATGGGAACAGTTCATGCTTGCGTCGCCCCGTCCTGCAAGATTGACTTACTTGTCTCCCCTCTTTTGTCCTTGTATAAAGTAAGCACCGCTGTCATAGATATAAGCAATGCGTCGGGGCGTCCCAATTTTGAATATTTCTGTTTTCTTGCTCCCCCCCCACCTTCCATCTCTCCATGTCTCCCCTCTGACAGAATTATGTAGATCCATGCTCGGGGTCTTCATTCATGAAAATCTCTCTTGGTCTCTTGATTATTAAAGTATAGTTCTATATGTACAGTGCCTAACTCTCCCGATACCCCCACCAAAACCCTTTTGGGTCCCATTGAAATTCTATACAACCGGTCCTCTAGCGATTTTCTATGCCGTTGCGACCCGAAATGCACAACATAACCCAAAAGAGAGAAAAAGAAAAAGAAAAAAAAAACAAAAGAAAGAGGTAAGTACAAATGAAAATGCCCGTTCTGCTTTCCTTCCCCTCCCTTTCCCCCGCTCTATATGATGAAATTCATTCAATATTAGAAACTAAAGTTAGTGAAGCGACCCCTCTCAACCACCCGGTGGGAGCGAGACCCAGGCTTTTTTGGGAAATTCTGTTCCACGCGTTTGATGGCACACAACAAAAGAAATGCGTTAGCGCTTGACGTTGATGTTTTTGGGGTTCAATAATTGAAATAATACGGGTTCGGGCAGCCTCCGAGATCGGTATTCGAGAGTCCGATCACAGGCAGCGTCTGCTGCGCTTGGCTGTGAGGGTAGTATCGGAGAGGGAGTGAGGTGGTTTCGAGGGTCGATGGCTCGTGGTGGTACATGGAGCTGCTGGTCAGGTCAAGGGAGTAGCCGGCTGTGCTTTCGCCCTCGCGTGACCGTCGGGAGGCGCTGCTGCCGCCGATAGGTGCGTATGAAGAAGTTGGGGCGCTGCTGTCCCACGAAACCTGGATGGTTGGGCCTTTGCAGGGCTCGAGGGGTTTGGTGGAAATAGTCCCGGTGCTGCTCTTCGGGGTGACCGCGGAGCTGCTGCAGGAGTCGAAGACGGAGGTGTGCGATTCCAGGTCGGGGATCTCTTTCCGGTACACCGGATTCACGCTGTCCTTCATGGATGAGCTGGTCGGGGAGCCCATCGCCTGGCTATCCGCGAGCTGCTCGGGAAGGTGGACGCGCGATACACACACAACCATGGGCCCGTCTGGAGCCATGTCAATATCTGATCCGGTCGGCGTGCCAGAGGAACATACCTGTTCTGCCTTCCAGGTACCGTTCTTGCTCTCCGCGGACATGGTAGATCTCATCCAGTATAGCTAACCGTTCGACGGGTTGAATCTGTCGACGCACAGATTGATCCGCTTCTTTGAGTTTCTCGACGCAGATAGCGTGGCTTTCGCGCAACTCGCACAGGATATGCACCAGGAGTTTGACTCGCTCTGTCCATCACTTAGCGTGCTTCTTCTCGTGAATCCGTTGAACAGTCCTCTTACCGTTCTTGAGAAGGTGATCAGGCTCTCTGTGGGTAACGCCCGCTGGCCACCAGGCTGGCTTGGTGAGCTCGGGATCAAACTGTTGAGATGTGCCAGAAATGATCTTGCGTCCGTTGTACGGATAATTGACCTGCTTCCGCGGCTCAACAAGCTTGATGTATGCCTTGGCAAGGATGCGACAGTTGATCTGCTGTAGGCCTTCGAAGGCCTTCTCATAGTATCGCCGGAGGATGCTAGCATTGCGAATAGGGAGCATGGTTTTTTGGTGGCAAGTGATACTCATCGGTACGAGACACTCATGCGACACTCGTTTTCGCTTGTTTGAGGAAGGCTCTGAGGTGTTGCTGAACCTGAAATCTGTTAGCTTCCATCATCGGCTAGGACATGGTGTTGCCATACATCGACTTGCTGTTAGGTGACTCAGGCGACAATGGGCTTCGGCCTCTTGACCCTTCTACTGCCGGTGTCAGTGCATCTTGAAGTCACTGTACGGCAGCGCAGAGTTTACCTAGAAGTTTATTCGACTCGTCCTTCCCAGACAAGGCCACGGCTCGTAGAAAACTCTCGGTCACGTTTGGCGATAAGATTGAATGGCAGCTATCCGCAATCGAAGGTGATGCTTCGAAGCGCAATTTACCGCTGTCATCGATATAGATCAAAGCAAAGTGCAGACAGGCCAGCCCGTCTAACGGCGCATCCATTGATACCGGAGTATGAGCCTGGTGCAGTTAGCTTATGTTGCGAATCGCCACCCAGGTGAATCAGTACCATGGCTGTGAAACAATCGAGGGGATGGTGACAAGTCAAGATGACCAATGATTTAGACAATAAGACCTTCAGAAGCTCGCTCTGACACAGCAGGTAAGAAAGGTGCAAGGCACATAGAAGTACTCACGACGAGTCAGAGACAGGGCACGAGAGAAGGCATTTTAAACATGCATCGGAGACGGTCTGTGACCGATTTGAGGCAAATCGAATGAACGGGGCGATCAATAGATCCACAGTCTGTATCAAGCTTACAGGATCGCCCTCAATCCAAGTATCAGCTGTCCCTAGGTCGCCTCCGGGTGGATGATGCACCCACTGCATCACCATTAGCCCTAATGACCTTTTCTTCCCCAAGAAGCACCATAACGAGATAATCCATAAGAGAAAATCAGTGCTATAGAAGCTAGACCAATGGATGCATCCAAGCCGTGTCACTAATGCGTGGCCCTATGTGGCACAGCAGCGGATGGGGACCCATCCGCTCTCTTGCATTCAGGCGTGAACACTAATGCCTTTCTGCGTTGTTCCCCTAAGGTATAACTATTGGAGAGCGTAAAAAGTACCGCTCGAGTCTTCCCTGAATAGGTAAGGATCCCGTATAGCTGACAGTTCCTGGGGAACGAGCCGATGGCCGCTACCCCGTAGATGCAATTGATTCGTTTTCACAAGGTCTTTGCCATTGTCGATCCTTCACTCACCGGCACTTCAAGCTCCATTTTGCATACAGTGCAAATAATGGACGACTAGAGAGTAGCGGTCCCTCAAGCGCTGGTAGTAAGTCTATCGACGGTATTCCGTAGATTGAGACTGCCTCGAGTCGGAGTGATAGAACGGAGTAGTTCGGGTGGAGAATGGACCTCACAAGGTACACTGCCCAATCCCGGTAATCAATTTTTGCCCATCACTTCAATTGCCTCTCTAGCGAATGATTTAATTCCGCTAACCCTCCCCTCCTTGCTTCGTGCATCGGGTGTCAGGCACTGATCGTACCGTTAGCTTCGTCCGAGAAACAACACGAATGGGCCTGTAGACGCGAATCAGTGCAATGGGTGACAACCCAGGATGAACCACGCGAGAAACTGGCTTCTTGACACCGTCGAATATTACGTCGTATCGAGGTGCCCAAGTAGTTACAGGATAGAGCCAAGTGCTGACTGAATGACCGTTCAACGTACTTACGTGGTCCCTAGCTATCTCACGGCGAAGCATCAGCCATGCAGAACGCTGATGATCATTCTGGGACAAATCGATCAGTCGAAAGTTAGATGTGTGGATCCGCCCCGGCTGGAAGTGACCCACCAAAACACTCATAGGACGGCACCAGAGCTAATCGCAATGGATCGGTAGCACAACGAACTATAGAGAGTGAAGTTGCGTGCGGAAAAAAATTGCGATAGCCTAAGTGCTCATTTGAAAGCTATCGTTCTCTGTCCGTTGTCGGTCCTTCCTGTCATGTCTCGTCATGAGCATTATCCCAAAGAGTTATTGGCATTTCGCCTATGCTGGTTGTCACCTATGCTATGCACATGATAGGCGTCAATTTGCCAATAGACATCGCTTCAAGTAGAGAGGTCTAGACTCCAATCGTTCATTGCCACATTGCGCGACTTGGTGGTCATCGTGGATGGATGGCGAATTTCCCGAAGCGGATTATTGGGAGCCTGATTCGTCTGACGCACTGGGTAAGTACTGTACATTGTCGGTCAAATGTCCGACAATGGTGCGTAGAGGCAACATCCAAGGATGAAATTGGAGTCCACGATGGGCGTGGAGTTGTTTACGGAGTACTGCACATAGTGCTGGCATTGAACATGCTTGCGAGTTTCCGAGGTTATTGGCCACGCATTCTTCCAGCTCGCCGTCGGCGTCACCTATTATATTTGAAAACAAGGTTATGACTGGTCACCGGCCGAAGTTCCGATTCGCGAAGAATCACAAAGCTCGAATTCGCTTGGAGGATCAAGATCTGGCTTAGTACGGGGTACAGTGTGCTCAGACGACCCCTGTAATCTCCCAAGGCGACAGGACTACTCTGTATAATGGCACCATTGGTCGCTCCACGATTGGTGTGCGAGAAACAAAGACATGGCCATACTACCAGCTACCGGGCGTTCGGAAACGCCATGATCGTTGACGGGGGCGGCCCTCTCCGTTGGGTCCAAGTATGAACAAATTCGGGTTTTTTGGGTAAGACCTCTGACGAGTCTGCTAAGTGGACTGCAGCGGGTCGCGTATTGCATATGATTAGATGACCTGTCATTCTGGCTGGGCGCTCAGTAATCATGCACGTCGGAAGCCTCCCGGACGTAGCGACTGGACTATTACACGCTCCATCGCCATCCATGGACGGTTAGCACGATTTATTAATAACAACACTTTCGTTGAGGCGAAGACATCAATCGAGTTACGGTCTCAGCCGTCCTTCGTGGTTGCCCTCGAGACTATTGTATCACCGAGGATATATTATTATGGATTATTGATAGATAGAGAATCAACAGTCCGACCACTACCTTACAGTGCGCTGGTGGCTTTGATGCATCGTGTTTCGCATTCGGAGCATGTCTAATGGTGTATGCAACGGTAATCGTGGTAGCATTATACCGGCTCGGCACCCTAGTGAGAACTGAAGCAATTCGTCTAGTAAGCAGCTTCACTTAGGAAGGTCCTGATAGCATTGAGAAGATCATGTTAGAAATAGCTTAGTGGTTTCTTCCCATTACCTTGCAAGTTCAATTCTCTATGAAAGTAGACACACCGACCACGCCACCGGTAGGTAGGTGGTTCGACCGCTGGTAGACCCCAAGTCTGGAAACGACGTACATGTACAATTGAGCACGGGTCACCGACCTGAGGGCTAGTGCGAGTGAGGGATCAATTTGTGTGGGGCTGGCTGGCTCCATCGGTATGACAGATGTCAGTGGCCACCCACCCTGGTACGGAGGAGAGGAGCCGAGGCTGGTTCTGAGAATGGCAGGGTCTGAGATCAGTTTCATCGGAAACCTTCGATGACCCTAATACCGGGGCTTCTGGAAGGCTACCCGATCTGCGAGGACGATCAGCCGCGGGATGCTGATCTCAAAAGTACAGTGAGTTTACTGTACGCTGTACAGAACATACACTATCGCGAAAGATCGATAGTTGGGGAGTTTTTGTCCCGCCTCCGTCTTCACAAGGTGGATGGCTGGGACTGTCCATTGTCCGTACTTGGCCTCGAGTTCTTCGTAGTGTCCGTATATTTGAAGCAATAAAGGTGGCATGCGTGCTTCGCCCTCGATTGGCGGGCTCACCCTGCGGGTCAAAAGATGATGTGCACTTTGAGAGCAGTAGATAGTGAAGAGGAGAGAGGTGAGGGAGAGGGAGAGATGAAGGCTGGAGCTTTCGGTTACACAGTCAAGAGCAGTGACTCGACCGTGGACTGTGCCTGTGCCTTCCGAACGAGGCAGAAGGCAAACCACCCATTGGGTGCCTCAGGTGCACACGGTTGTTTGGTACAAAAATTACTCCGTATCCCTCTTACATAGCCGATGTGCCTGTAACTGTGTATGTTACGCTAATAATACAGCCATCAATTATGAAGATGTCAACTACAGGTTGTCCCAGGTTGTCCCGAGTCGTGTATCAACCGACCACTAACCGACATTATACCTAAACCAAGTATCGTACTCTACTCACATAACTCGATCGATCATCCATTTATGAAATTTGTCAACAACTAACCGAGTGACTAACTAAGAAGATAGTACCTAGGCGACCTGTGCTGCCACTGGGTGTGGATTTTCCCACCACTCACTCTTGGAACCCCACCAGCCGGCCCGCCCGGACGAATGGTAAGCCATGTGTTATCATCCAATCGTTCGCAGGTTGATCAGTCTGAATCCGGCCAGCAAATCTCTTCCCGAGTCCTGACCCTTTTCCCTCTTCCACTGTTCGCACTGCCCTTCGATCCATGACTGACTGACTGACTGTCTGTCTGTCTGTCATTCTTCTACCCCTACTATTGCTATTATCTATTCTTTTTCCTGCATACCGCATTTATTCCCTTTGGGCTTAAGCTGTCAGCTTGCTCCTCTCGCCCACCTACACCTCCAGTGGTCGCCTTTTTTTCGCTCCCCTGGTCTCCTCCTCCACCCCCTCGATCCTCCTCTCCTCCCTCCCCTTTCAGTCGGTCTGCCTCTCTGTCGTGTCCCCTCCATCGACCCAATCAAACCCCCCCTCCTTTCCCATCGTCTCTCCTCTAATCTTAAATTGACCTTGGTGATTTTCTTGCATTTTTATTTGCTCCTAATTTCCCCTCAGTCTCGATTCCGTGGATTGTTCCAGAAAACCCCATAGGCAATTAAAGCCACCGTTCACAGGCCACTAAGGCGTTAGGGACCCGGGCTTAGTGTCGCATTTCCGTCCATCCCTGGATTCCCGCGAGTCAGAGAACTGCTCCCAACTCTGACACTGACTTTCTACGGACGTGTTCCGACGAAGGTTTATTTCTTTTTAAAAAAACAAAAAAACAAAAAAAAATTGTTCGATTTCTCGCCCAGAATAAAAAAGAATAAACAAACCAAAAAGAGAGAGAAAGAGAGGGGAACGGAAGCTTGGGCCCCCCCGTCCAGCAGTTTTCTCTCACATCATTCATCAGCCATGGACTCGAATAATTCTTCCGGCTTCCCTGCTGCGATGCAGCAGACCGCGGCTTTTCCTGTCACGACTCAAAGTCCTCAACAGTTCCCTTACTATCCAAATGCCATGCCCTCATTTCCCCAGCCTAAGTCTACACCTCCCTCTCATATGACTCCTCAGCAACACTTACCGCATTCTTTCAATTCCGTGCCTATGCAGGCCGGCCCCGGTGGAGCAATGATGCCGACTGGCTTTCCCCAGCAATCACAAGGTACGTTGTCATCACCACATTGTCATGGGAGTGGTACTCTCCTAATGCCATTCTTATCTGATTTGCCCATCCTCGATACTTCAATACTTCCTGTGACCTCTTTTGTACCCCCGTTATCCCTCCTCTCCCGCCTCCCCTCTCCCCTTATTGCTTCCCCACCCACTGGGCCTCCTTAGATCAACAAATGCTTCGTCGCATTGGACATCATTTCTAATAGCGACTCTACCGCATCTGACCTGGTCTGGTTGCGTTCTCGCTACGTTACAGGACCAATGGTTGGGCGGATCTCCACTATCGTGTCACCTCTTGTCACCCTAGTTGCCTTTTAGCTGTTGTCGCTTATGGAGCTACACTGGGCTGCTAGCCCAAGTGTCTCAAGTTAGACACAATGTCGGCTGCAGGGACAAGCCGCTAATCAACGGGATGGACTTGCAGGACCCCACGCCAACTTCGCGGCGCCATTTGCCCAGCCACCTGTCCCGACTTCGATGAGCCAATTTCTTCCTCCCCAGGCGACCTCAGCTGCTGCGGTTTCTGGCACTGCTGCACAATCATTTCCTTCCAACATGGCCTCAATTCCCTCGACCAACATGATTTCAGCGCAGCAACCGAGACCGACCCCGCAACCCAACCCAGTGCCAAATTCGTCTCCTTCTGCCCCCCAGTCGCCTGCCGCGGCTGCTCGAGAGAAGGCCCGGGTGACAGTTCTTCTGGATATCAATTCGATGCTGCTGCAGGAAGTCATAAATCTTCAGGCAGCCGGCAAGGCTGGGACTGCGCCTACTCCGCAGGGCTCTCAAGAGTCCAACCCGTCGCCGACCTCGGAGCAGACTCCCGACAAATCTAACCAGCGCCCAAGCCCGGAGTATGTCGAATGTATGCGACGATTGCAAGCCAACCTGGGTTATTTGGCAACTGTGGCCGACCGAGCTAAGAAGTCTGGTGGTGTTGCTCCTGGTGGCCCTGCCATCATGACACCTCCACCACATATGCCCTCAATGGCCGATCTCTACAACCGACTCAGTGAATTATGTCCTCGTTCGACACAAGGTAGCATGGGAACACCTCAGCCTAGTCTCCAGGCCCTACAAGGAAACGGGCGACCCAGCCCTTCCCCCGCTACCGAGACAGTCGTCTGAACACCCACCCTTGGATAGGCAGAGCAACTAGACCCTGCAGATGACCGAGGGCACCTTGGCGACGGGCGCAAGTGTCGCCCTTGAACAAAAGTTTTCATTGAAGACTTCTACAACGGATTGGAAGCTTCCCTGTCCCTTCTGTCACGTAGTGGAAGCTATTATCGACATGAATTGCGATACATAGGGTACTAGTTTGACTTAGTGCTGACTGCGAACATCACACTATGATCTCTGGACCGGACTTCGTCGACCAGCGCCAATTCGACACCACACAAGGGATGATATGAGCTCTCCCTGTAGGAGAACGCGTCTCCGCGGATTGATTGTCCCAGACAACATGGTGAATCTCATGAAGTCGGGCAAGCAATTAGGATCTTGGATCAGGCACAATGATAGCTAGAACTGGGTGGAGGACTGCAAAGATTGCCACCAGATGCCCGGGTTTGAAGTAGAGAAGACATAGTAGGGAAGGGAGGCAGCCTTCAAGTGTACTATAGCCACGCATTGATAGAGATGTAGATAGGTTCCACTGCCACCACTACAATTACTATTCTGAATATATGCATACGCGTTGACCCTGTCAGGTTTCTCCCAGCGCTAATCCATCTGATCTGGTCATCAGACTCTGTTGCTGCAGCTCCACGGGCGGTGGAGGGTGGATGGCCAATCAGTCGACAGCCTTCCTCTGACCGCCCACCTGAGCTTTTCTGCCTCAAGTCAGTTCTCCGCCCTGCAGTTCGTCACTCTTTCAGCTTTTCCCCCCTCCTCCATTTCTCATTTCCTGCAACGGTCTTTGTCGCTTGAGGACCTTGTGAATGTCTTGCGTCTGGCTCCGACTCTACAGAAGGAGCTTACTGTCTGTCGCTACTAGCCACACACCCAAAACTACCATCGCTCTCTCTACTGTAGCTGCCGCTACCTCTTCGTCTCCCGCCGCGCCGCCGCCGCCGCTACATTCGCCGACTACTTCCTGTTCTTCTGATATACCGTGGCACCACCTCACCTCACCTTCAATTTATAGCCATTTACCTACCTTTATATCGCCTCGAACCCCTTCCTCCTCGCGCCACATACTACCTTATCCTCATCGCTGCCTAAAATCGCGGCGATTTCCCCGTCACAGCTCCGGTCTGTGGTCAAGTGATATAGCCCCGAGGAACATCAACAATTCCAGCGCTATTTCCCCTCGCTCCATCACTTCGCTCGCGGCTTTATCTCTCAGACCCCGTGGTCGTCAGAGTCATACTTTACAGATGGATATGAATGGTGACGCAGGCGCCAAGCGCAAGCGCAGCTCGATCGCCGCGCCCGCCGAGCGGCCCGCAAAGCATCTCCGTCCCGAAACCAGCACATTAACGCCTGGCGACTCCACCCCCGCGAATGGAACCGTCTACGATGTGGAGGAAGAAGAGGATGCTGGTCGGGTGTTGCCCTTGGGAGCTGCACAGGCCGACTCGCCTGAGTGGCAGGCCACCATTGAGGAGGTCGTGAAAAGCGTTGTGTCGATCCACTTCTGTCAGACGTGCTCCTTTGACACGGAACTGTCGATGAGCAGTCAGGCGACTGGTTTCGTGGTCGACGCGGAGCGGGGTTATATCTTGACGAATCGACACGTGGTGTGTCCCGGACCTTTCTGGGGTTACTGTATTTTCGACAACCATGAAGAAGTGAGTTGGCTTAGCCCTATCAACCCAAGCGCAGGCGCTTCATCTCCATTTTTCTATGCAGCCCTAACCAGATCAGTGTGATGTTCGCCCGATTTACCGAGATCCTGTTCACGATTTCGGAATCTTACAGTTCGACCCGAAAGCGATTCGATATATGAACTTGAAGGAATTGAAACTACAACCGGATGCGGCCAAGGTCGGATCGGAGATTCGTGTCGTGGGTAATGATGCAGGAGAAAAGCTTAGTATTCTGTCTGGTGTCATCAGTCGATTGGATCGAAATGCTCCGGAATACGGCGAGGGATACAGTGATTTCAATACCAATTACATTCAGGCCGCTGCGGCAGCGAGTGGTGGCAGTTCCGGCAGTCCTGTCGTGAACATCGATGGCCATGCAATTGCTTTGCAGGCTGGCGGTCGCGCAGATGGCGCAGCTACGGATTACTTCCTCCCGCTGGACCGGCCGCTGCGTGCGCTGGAATGCATCCGTCACGGTCAGCCGGTCACGCGAGGAACCATTCAGACACAATGGATTCTCAAGCCATTCGACGAGTGTCGTCGCTTGGGCCTGACACCTGAGTGGGAGGCCACCGTGCGGAAGGCAGCTCCCACGGAGACCAGCATGCTGGTGGCAGAGATCATCCTGCCGGAGGGCCCGGCGGATGGAAAGCTGGAGGAGGGAGACGTGCTTCTGAAGGTCAACGGGGAGCTGCTCACTCAGTTCATTCGGCTGGACGATATCCTAGACTCGAGCGTTGAGCAGACGGTGCGTCTGCTGGTGCAAAGAGGCGGTCAAGATGTGGAGGTGGAGTGCCAGGTTGGCGACCTGCATGCCATCACGCCCGACCGCTTCGTGACAGTGGCGGGAGGCACGTTCCATAACTTGTCCTACCAACAGGCACGTCTGTATGCCATCGCTACCCGCGGCGTCTATGTCTGCGAGGCCGCCGGGTCTTTCAAGCTGGAGAACACCTTGTCGGGATGGTTGATTGACTCCGTGGATAAGCGGCCAACGCGGACACTGGATGAGTTTGTGGAGGTGATGAAGACGATTCCTGATCGCTCGCGGGTGGTCATCTCGTATCGCCACATCCGCGATCTCCACACGCGCGGTACCAGCATTGTCTATATCGATCGACACTGGCACCCGAAGATGCGGTTGGCGGTGCGCAATGATACCACTGGACTCTGGGATTTCTCTGATCTCGCGGACCCCGTCCCCGCCCTGCCTCCTGTGCCGAGGAAAGCCGATTTCATCCAGCTTGATGGGGTGAGTCAACCTGCTGCCGCCGCCATTGTGCGCAGCTTCGTGCGCGTGTCGTGCACGATGCCTCTTAAGCTGGACGGCTATCCTCAAGCCAAGAAGACGGGATTCGGTCTGGTCGTTGACGCCGAGAAGGGACTGGTCGTGGTTTCGCGTGCCATTGTTCCGTACGACCTCTGCGACATCAACGTCACCGTGGCCGACTCGATCATTGTCACCGCCAAGGTGGTGTTCTTGCATCCTCTCCAGAATTACAGCATCATTCAGTACGACCCCAGCTTGGTCCAGGCTCCGGTGCAGAGCGCCAAGCTCAGCACTGAGTACATCAAGCAGGGTCAGGACACTATCTTCGTCGGATTCAACCAGAACTTCCGCATCGTGGTGGCCAAGACCGCCGTCACCGATATTACCACCGTGTCAATTCCGGCCAATGCCTCGGCCCCGCGCTACCGTGCGATCAACCTGGACGCCATCACGGTAGACACTGGCCTTAGCGGACAGTGCTCCAATGGTGTACTGGTCGGCGAGGATGGCACGGTGCACGCCCTTTGGCTGAACTACCTCGGCGAACGGACGGGGAACTCGCACAAGGACGTCGAGTACCATCTGGGCTTCGCAACGCCGTCTCTTCTGCCTGTCCTGTCCAAGGTGCAGCAAGGCGAGATGCCCACGCTGCGGATCCTGAATATGGAGAGCTACGTGGTGCAGATGAGCCAGGCCCGCATCATGGGCGTGTCCGAGGAGTGGATCGAGAAAGTGACTCGGGCGAACCCCGCCCGGCATCAACTGTTCATGGTCCGCAAGGTCGACTGTCCGCCTCCAGGCTTCGCCTCCGAGGCCGTAGACAGCTTTGAGGAAGGCGACATCATCCTCACCCTGGACGGGCAGCTGATCACCCGTGTCTCGGAGCTGGACATCATGTACGAGAAGGAATCCCTGGAGGCGCTCATCGTACGCAACGGCCAGGAGATGCGCATCCAAGTCCCCACGGTGCCGACGGAGGACTTGGAAACCGACCGCGCCGTGGTCTTCTGCGGTGCTGTCCTCCAGAAGCCCCATCACGCCGTTCGTCAGCAGATCTCCAAGCTCCACAGCGAGGTCTACGTCAGTGCTAGGGTACGTCATTCCTTCTTTCACTATCAATTTCCATCCCATCACTAACAATACACCTTGACAACAGAGCCGCGGTTCCCCCTCCTACCAATACGGCCTCTCGCCCACGAACTTCATCACCGCCGTCAACGGCACTCCGACCCCGAACCTCGACCGCTTCGTCGAAGAGGTCCGCAAGATCCCTGACAACACATACTTCCGTCTCCGGGCGGTGACCTTCGACAACGTCCCCTGGGTGGTGACCATGAAGAAGAACGATCACTATGTATGTTGCAACAGGCCCCCCCCCTCTTTTCTTCCCCTCCCTGAAGCCAGCAATGACCATCCCCCGTCTAACACATTCCTCTAGTTCCCCATGTCCGAATACCTGAAAGACCCATCCGCCCCGCAAGGCTGGCGCACCGTCTCCCACGATAAGGACAAGCACCGCGACGGCGCTGCACCGGATGCGGCCAACTTGAACCCCGACGCCATGGATGAGGGCTTTGATGGTGTCAGTGATGTCGAGCCGGAGGCTGAGTAAGGGGGAGTCACCCCCTTTTCCTCTGAGTGGTTTCTGTGGTGATTGTTGATGTATCTAAACGGTTGGAATTCATTCTGTATGTACAATATAGACTTACAGCATTATATGAGTAGATAGATATGTATCGCATCTTATGCAAGTAGAGCCATGCTCGTATGCGCTTTAGCCTGTAGATTTGGGGAATTCGTGCATGCTGTGTCGGTGCTGATGGTGTGAGTTGGGAATACATCAACCACCATCTATAATCACCAGGAGTCGTCGTATTGGGATGGATACCAACCAATGTCAGCCTGGACTTTCCATCAACACAGCTCAAACCTCGCTCAACCCCCAAGAAGGTACGGAGTAGATACTTTATATATCCACCTCACCATTCTACGATGATCCGAAACACAAACCCCGAAACCACCCCAGCAAATATCAAAAACTACACTTCGCGGAAGAATATACATCAAGAACCAGAAACCCTCAAGCTCCCACTTCCCCAACGCTATCCAATAACAAACAGAAAGTGACGCGCAATCGACCAACAAATCTTGCGCTACAAACAGCTATATATAGAGACACTTGGAGGAGGTTTACATCAACCAGCATCATTGGTCTAGTGGTAGAATTCATCGTTGCCATCGATGAGGCCCGTGTTCGATTCACGGATGATGCACTATTCTGTTCTTTTTCTTTTTCTTCCACCTTCTGATGTAGGCGAACTATTTTGCCGCTCGCGGAGGCATCCTTCTAGCGCGGTGGTTATAGCACCCGTGATCCCTTAGTATCCCTCCCCGCTGCTTATGCTGTGCGTGCGCATTCTCTTTCGATCGAGTACGTGCTCGCCCATCGGCTTTCGGACAAGGATACGCTGGGTCCTCCATCAACGGAAGGCGCTGTCAACTGCACCCGCAGCTCGGGGGACGGATTCTCCGCGATGGGGGTCCCGTGTTTTCTGTTTTTGTGTGGGGATTCTCGGTGCTTGGATTGCTGATCTTACTTGGGTCGTGGTCCGGTTGTCTCCGTTGTCTACATAGGCATCGTTCATAAAGACTACTGTACTCACGAGGATGACTGCTGTCCTACACCAGTCTGATTTTCCCAGAAGATAAGAAATTGCCATACGACGCATAAAATATAAGTATAAACCCAAACAGAAGATATACTTCACAGTCGGCCTGCGAGCAAGAGAAAAATGAAACGAAAAAAAAGTAGAAAGAAAAGTACAAGGGAAAAACGTCCCGTTAGCCACCACGGCTAATGGGGTCTCGTTTTGCCATCGTACACACACCACACCACCGCATACATACTACCCAGCCTCAGTCGGCTGTGCATGCCATCACAGTCGACTCCTCAATGCCCTTAGTCAGAACTACCACAATCCTTGGAGGCAGCTAACGACCCGTGTAGACCCCGAATCACGACACCCTCTAAGCCAGAAGAGGCTCCTTCTCCTCAGCCTCAACGGCAGGCTGCTCAATTGATTCCACCAAAGGAGCGACGGGAGCGGCGGGGGCCACGGGCTCAGCCTTCGGGGCTTCAGGGAAGTCGGGGATCTTGATCTCGGGCTCGGCCTCGGGTTCCTTCTTGATGACGGGGCTGCTGGCAACCTTGGCCACCTCGGGGGTCACGGAGCGCGAAGCAGAGCGGCGGTGCACGAATCCCTGGGCCTTGGCGCTGTAGTCCTCGACGTACTGCTTGACGATGCCCGTCGCGTGGGCGGTGCGCTCCTCGGCGATGTCCTTCAGCTGGTGGGCCTGGCTGTTGACCATCTCCTGGAGGTGCTCGATCTGGGCATCGATGACCTCGCGGTTGTTGATGTAGACCAAAGGACCCAAGTAAGCAATGGTGACGGTGATGAGGGAGAGACCCCAGAAGGGAAGGAACTTGATCAACCAGTAGGCGGAGAAAGCGGCGAGGAAAGCCTGGTGGCCGGTTAGCGATGCGCCATGTGTCACAGGTGTAGCATTGACATACAGCAATGGTGTGAACAAGGTTCTCGGCGAACAGAACGCGCTGGAATTCGATCAGGACGAAATCGACGAGCTGCTCAAGATCCTCCAACACGGCTTCGACCGTCTCCTTGGGAACGGTGTAGTATTTGCGAGGGCGGAAAGATCCGACGACGCTCTGCTTCAGGGCGAGTTGACCACCCAGCTCGGCGAGAGCGGTGACTATTGAATGTATTAGTCCCCCGTCTTAGTATTTGCTGTGCAGGTTCCACTCACAGCCCAGAACCACATAGACAAATTTGAAGAACCATCGGAGGAGCGGAAGGTAACGGGCGGCAAAGATGAAAGCTACAACGCTGATGAAGGAGACGGCGGTGGCTCGGGGTTGTTCCCACTAGTATGGAATATCTGTTAGGGCTGGTCTGTGTGGGATGGATTCGCAGTCACTCACGCTCAAAAGGCTGTACAGCAGGGAGTGGTAGTCTTTGTGGAATTAGCGACAAGCGGCGTGGCACAAGTGTGAGTGGTACATACAAGTTAGGGGCTGGCCGGTCGCGGCGGTGGTGGAGGGAGTCACTGCTGCGTTGCGCAGCTCGCGCAGCTCTTGACTGGTGCGGGTCGCCTCGGATTTGATGTTGTCGGCCAGAGGTCCTATGAGACTGGCTGTCAGCTTTGATTGCAATTGAGGTATGGCAACAAATTCTGCTCCCCCCAGGGAAGAAACCGGGACTAGGAATTGGCGCTTACCATTGGTAATAGTACCTAGGCGGAGGGATCAGTGGTTAGCTTGTGTAACTCGATTTCGAACTCTCGGTGAGATGCGAAATGTGTGGGACTGAAGATCAGGCGAAACATTAGCTTGAGAACGCTCTTCCCTCCATGCGACTGACCAGAAGACTCGGATACGTACCTTACCATGGCCGTTCACGTTGGGATAACTCACGTCAGCAGCCATGACGAAAGTTGTGTGGGTTCGGAAAGCTGGAAAGATAAGGAAAAGGGTGGATTGTCAGGGGAAAATTGAGAGAAGTTTGAGCTGAGCTGAAGGAAGCTGCGGCGGTTGAAATGGGCGGGCGGACGAGACTGCAGTTGAACACAGAGAGAGGAGGATTAGAGAGATTAGAATAAGAAGAGCTTGAGTCGAGCGGGGATGGGGGAGAAGATGAAGAAAAAGGACGAGGGCGAGAGTGAGAGCGAGAGAAGGTGATGCAATAATGGGGTCGAGCCGGCGGGTGGATTTGATTTGGTCGTGTGCCTTAGGTTTGACTCTACAGTAATAACTCGTTTGCCTTCCCTTCCCCAATACGAACAGAACCAAACGAACATGTGATGGCCTCGACCGGTGTTTCGGATTAACTTGCACGGCCAAACTAATTATATCTTTGATATAACCCAGCAGCTTATGACTTTTGAATTGACTGATTGAATAAGACAGTGTGTGCGCTTATGCAAGGGGACTCACTGCTCACTGCTGGGAGAAGATCCTTCGAGAGCTCATTCATCCAGCATCCATCAATCAATCCATCCAGCGAACAGGAGTTCGTGCATTGAGATGCATGCTCTGCAGGTCGAAGATCCAGACTTGTCCTCAATATTTGCCAGCTAATTCACCCGTCTGAACCTTGAGAGAGGACTGACACTCTCTGTTCTTTACCGGTTTAACTTCCACCATTATCATTATCTCCACTACGAAGCTCCTCCCCAGTCACCTCTATAGTCCACAAACGCATTGTTCGGCTGTGTTTACTTCGGTCTGGGCTGGGATGATGTCACTCGCCGTTCACACCTCAATCAGTCAGCATCCGCTCACAATTGCTTCTAATTGAGAACCATCCAGCGCTTTTGTAAATGTTTCCATTGGTGACCGACACGAAACCGGAATCCAGCACAACCCGGCAGCCTACACACGCTTGGGATATTGGTGCAAGTGACGCAGCGGTTGGTGCTGAGCTGTGGAGGGGCCAGCATCCGATCATAAGCTGCCAACCATTTGGTGGAGGCGCACTGTATCGAAAAGCACATCATCCGCACTCAATCTAGATCTGGCCATGAATGATGTCACGAAAGTATATTTCACAGTGCTTAGTCGTCGTTCTATGTATGTACGGAGCAGCTGGTCCTTTGAGAGGCAATCAAGGGAAACTGTTGCGTGGCAATCCCACTTTGCTATGTGCATGGTATTTAGCCAGGCAGCAACAAGACTTGCTACAAGAGATAGAGCAAAATTGTAGTGGAGAAGAACCACTTTGTTTCTGGATAGGTAGCTAGTAATAGTACCATAGCCAGCACAAACCAGGATGATATGTTGGTAAGCTATGCTAAGTAACTATGGACGGTTTATGCTCAAAGCTTGGTGCCTTAAGCGCCAGGCACCAGTGATGTAGAGGTCACGTGCCGGAGCGGGACTCACGCGTTGGCCGATGTTTTGATGCTTCAAACTCCGGACGACAGGCCTGAAGCCCACCGGCCGACCATCAATCCTCCGCCGACACACCACGGTCCTATGCTTCATTTCTTGACTGTCACTAAAATCTAGACTGGGCCCGCTTGCCCTCGACCCTTTACGATCAATTTTAATGTCTTCTTGACGACTCCGATCCCCAATCCGCGTTTGTTTACATCGCCATGGCTGCGACCGGCGCGAGGGCGCAGAAGCCCGTTGGCTCTGCAGCGTGGATCTCATCCGAAAAGGAAAACTGCATGCAGCTTGTGGACCAGGAAATGGAAGAGGTCGAATATCCTGTGCGCCATGAGATGGATTGGTTGAATGAGCATATGGCCGAGATCTTCTCTACCAACCAATTGTCCGTTGCGCCCGCATACCCGTGATCCCATTCTCCGATGCTGACTCTCGCCCAGTAACTTCACCGATGCGTTCAAGACCCCAGGGAAATTGCGCGGCAAGACCCCGCGGACTGCGCGAAAGCGCGATGCGACCGAGCCTCGTGTGGTACGTCGACCCGTTCTCTACTCCTGGAAAGCATTGGCGGACTCATTGCTTACTGTCTACAGCCTTTGAGTGAGATCTTCTCCTCTGCACACAATAGCAAAACAGAGAACAAACTCGAAAGCAAGCATGACAGCAAACCCCCCGCAAGCCCGGCAGTTCAACGCTCGCCCGCCAAGGCACCCGTTGCTCCCCCTGCAGCACCAACCCCCGTGACAGAACCTAAAACTACCACTACCAATGAAGCAGCTCAACCCGCATATCCCGACTTGAGCAAGAACCTCAATTCTTTCCCGGAGTACAATACCGACTCCGGCTATCATGGCATGCCCGAGGGAGAAGAAATGGAGGAGGATGAGGACGACGATGTTGTCTTGACACAAGTACAGCCTGAATCCCAAACATCGACACAACCGATGGAGACCGAGCCTATTGCTACGGAAGAACATACCCAACTACCAGAAGAGCGCCGCATGACAGCAAACTCCTTCCACTCCGCCCAAGAGAATGTACGCCACCGAGGCGAAACAGTTGAACCCGAGCAGGTCGAACCAACACCGAGCCGAAACGCGCCCTCTCAGTCGCAGCCTCAAACAGAGCCAAAGGAACAAGAGTCCGCTGTCACGCCAGCATCTGAGCTTGAGGAGAAGCCCGAGATGGAAGCCGTGAGAGAGCCTGAAGATGAGCCCGAGCCTGAGACTGAAGTTCAGGCCGAACCCGAGGCTAGGCCTGAAGTTCAGCGTGAGATCCAGCGTGAGGAAAGTGTGGAACTCGAGGAACGGCAGGAACGGCAGGAGCCGGAGGAGCCTGAGGAGCCCGAGGCGCGTCAAGAGCCTGAGGAGCCTGGCGTTGAGCTCGAACAGGAAATCGAGTCGCAACAAGCGCCAGAGCCTGAGGTCAAGCCCGTGCAACAGGACGAGCAGGAGCAACAGAAACACAGCGGGCGAGAGACAGTACCGGAGCTCAGCCACCAGCCGGTGTCAGAACCTGAGGCAGAGGAAGAGCCTGCCAAAGCCGTGGAGCCGAGCTCACCTGCCAAGACTCCCGCCGCACCTGCTGCCGAGCCTGTCCAGGAAGGGAAGGAGGATGCTAAGGATGAAATGGCTCTCGATATTGACGATATCGGTTCTCCCTCGGACGTTTCACCTCCGGCACGCCCCCCCATTCGCAAGAGTAGTCTTTCGTTCGCGTCGCTTCCTGCACGCGAGCCATTGACCAAGAAGAGTCTGGGAGGTTCAAGACTGTCTCGCACAAGCCATCTGGAGATCTCTAAACTTAGCAACACCGGGAGCTATCTTGGTAGGCAGACTGGAGGACACAGAACGACACAGTCTGGCATGGAGGATGACACCACACATAACGATAAGATGGATATCGACGACAATAAGGATTTAACTGATGACGGAGAATCGGATGTTGACACGAAAGCCAGCAAGGTCCATACCAAGTCCTCGACTCAAAGGCTGCATGAGAAGATCAGTATGCTGGGTAAACTGCAGCCATCGCGACCAACCAAGTCAATCCCTGCAGTCTCGCGTTTATCAACCGCGCAGGTCACTTATCCCGACTTGCCCATCTCCAAGCCCGAGACGAGACCAGAGGTTCCTAGCCAAAAGCCCCGTGATGCGCCAACTGCGGAGCCTATGCAGATTGACGACGACTGGATCAAGCCAATGAACTCGCCCTATCGGTCGAACACACAGGCACACCAACGAACTGACAGCAAAGACACCAAGTTGTCGGGAGCTAGGATTCTGCGGGCTGCTGAGGACGATCGTTCTTCTGCTATAGACAATACGAGAAGTGCGACAGGAACAACAACTACCGCAAAGCGCACTTCGGACGTGGGCCGCGGAAAGTCGACAACGCCTCTTTACTCCTCCCCACAACGTCCTGGTCATCAAAAGAGCGCGTCGGCTCATATTGACTCCCAGTTGTCGACGACACCTGTTGGCTCTCCTGCGCCGGAACGATGGGATGGACCCTTGAGTGCGTCAAAGTCAAGACTCCAGTCGATCGTGCAATCTGCGAAGGGCCTGTTCACGAATACCGGAGGCGTAGCGGCTGCGGCTCGAAAAGAAGCGTCCTCACCAGAACAACCACGCTTGCGGCCGAGTGGTCGTCCCATTAGCGAGTTGATGGATAACCCGCAGCGACCACAGTCTGCCCATCTTCTCAGCCCCCCACGCCAGGAAGGGCGTAGAACCCGCAGCTCTACCGAGAGAGAAGAGAAGCGTAGGCAGATGGAGCTCGAGGAACGTGAACGGCAAGAGGAACGTCAGCGACAAGAGGAACGCCAAAGACAAGAGGAACGTCAACGATACGAAGAACGCCAACGGCAAGAGGAACGGCAACTACAAGAGGAACTGGCCGAGAAAACCCGGCAGCATGAGAAAAAGAGGTCCATGCAACTCCGGTCTGCACAAGAGAAGTATTCTGCAGACGAGTCTCGGGCAACTTCCGAGGCCCCTGCTGCACCAACATCCCAGAGATTGCCCAAACTGCAAAAGTCATCCAAGGAAACAGAGTATGCAACGGAAACCGAATCCAAGCCCGCCGCCCCATCGTCTATCCCGCAGCAACAGCAAGCAAAGGGTCGTCCTGTTAAACCCACTCGCGAAACACTCCAGAAGCCCAGACCTCAGCCTGTCTCCATTCGTGTGGGCAGTGCTCTTTCTCGGCCCATAACGCTGGGATCGTCAACCATGTCTTCTGGCATGCGGGAGTCCAGTGTCCCCGCTCCGACACCGGGTTCTGCGGTGAAGCCACCTACCTTGAAGAAGAAGGCGAGCAACTCTTCACTACACACTGCATCTTCTAATAGCAGCTTCAAGAGTTCTATGTCTACTCAGTCACAGCGCAAGGCTCAACTTGCAAGTGAGAGAAAGCGTGAACAGGAGGAACGCGAGGCCAGGCGTCGAGAGGAGCAGCGCCGTGAGCTTGAACGGAAACGAGCGGCCCAGCAGCAAGAGGAAGCTCGTCGCCAGGACATGCGCAGTCGCGCAGAGGCCGAACGACGCGAGCGAATTGTTGCTGAAGACCCTAAGAAAGCCGCTCAACTTCAGGCAATCGAGAAGCGGAGACTTGAGAGCCAACGGAGGCTGGAGAGGCAAGGAAGCCAACAGCCTGAAACCCATCCGGAGAGGTCGGCCTCCCAGGCTGCTCAGCGGAGTGAGCTGGGAACCATGAGACCAGCTTCTCGTCTCGGATCCATCCAGCCTTTCCATCGCTCCGTCAACCAACCTCAGCCTAACCCGGCCAAGCCTCCTAAGAGAGGCCTGGACGAGGAGGCTAACCAGCGGCCTACGGCGTTGAAGACGGGCACGGTGCAACCGGCAGGCGAGTCTAAGCGCAGAAGGACAGAAGACGAACAGAATCGCATGTCCTCGATGCGCCCTACAATGGCTCCGCCAATCCGCCAGTCCAACATCCGCAAGGTAATTCCAAGTCGTTCGATGGTACATGATTTCATTACTAACCTCTTCATAGGAGCCCAAGAAACCTTCATTCTACAGCCAACCACCAACCTCGATTCTGAAGACTGGACAAACGCAAAGACCTGCGCATCCTATGGACATGTCCAAATATGCCAGTGGCAAAATCCCGTTCGCAGAACCGCCGATGGCACCGCCCGCTGCGCATCGGACGCCCGCTGCCAGCTCATCGCAAAAGCACCCAGTCAAAGAGTCGCCCAGCTATCCCAATGGCGAGAACATCAACCTGCCGGAGATTGCCACGGACAGCGAAGACGAGGACTCGGAGGCCGAGATGCTCCCTGTGCCCAAATGGGCCCAGCCGAAAGAGTTGGAGTCGCTACTGCGACAACAGGAGGGCATGGAGGCGGACTCTATTTTTGGCCCTATTGCCCCATTCTCCCTGGAGGAGACGTTTAAGGGGGACAAGAAGATCAAGAAATTCCGCGAGCGCACCAGTAGTGCCCATTGGTCTGGCCCCGACGGACTCACGCAAGATGAGATCCGACGCGATTTGGCCGAGCGTCAACGCTTGCGTCTCAATGGTGGCTGGACCTTTAACTAATCTGCTGTTACCCGGTTTCACGCTTGTGTGATACTTGATGGACTTTTTTTTCGTGTTTGTGAATGACAACGGGGGCTTTGGGCTTTTTTTCTTTGGGGTCACTGGGGAGCTGAATTCTGCGAGCAACGGCTGGTGGGCATAACCGGTCTGGCGTTTGTTCATATTTCGACTTAGGTTTCATGTTTTAGCTACACACACAATCGCGTTATGCACTTACCCATAGACCGATCTAGCCTGCTCTCCCAAGCATTTGTGTAGGTGCTCGTGAAGGTCGCGGCTCGAATCCGTCGAGGGATTCGACGAGGGCTTGGAACACAGCATTGTATCCGGTACTACCATGACATAGTTAGGAGCATTAGCCTCTGATCGCCCACCGGACTCGACTCCCCTGTCTTCCTCGCTACCCTTGCACATCCATCCCGCCGCATCCCAAGTAACAGCAATAGCGGATGTTCCTCGTTCCCCGTTCCCCGCTTCCGGCTGGGATCGCTGGGATGGATGATCCGTGCTGTACTAGTACTAGTACTGGCCTCGGACAACGGACGGGGGTCTGGTCGGGTCGGGTCGGGTCGGGTCCCGGGTCCATCCAGCCCTTCCCCGGGCCTAGACTTGCTCCTTCGCCAATGTGTCTCCCAACGTTTGAGGATGGTCGCGGGATGCTGTACTACTGCATACTGCATACATGGGGCCGGGAAAAAGAGGAGCTTGACAGGCAGGGAGGAAGGGGTAAAACAACCCCTGGAGGGGACGAGTTGAGTTGACCGTGGCCGGGCAGACGAGGCTGTAAGTAGTGTCGGCCAAGGTTTTTGGGGGGTGGGGGGGGGGTGGTTTAGGCTACTATTTCTCGAGTCGTTGTTGTTGTTGTTGTTGTTGTTGCTGTTGCTGGTTGGGTAGTGTAAGACTGGAGGGGGCCAGGGGAAGTGGTGGCTGTGCCGATTCTCCATCGGGGCCTGGGGCCTGGGGTTTGGGGCCTGGGAGGTGGTTTGTCTTACTGTGCTTGCCCAGTGAGATATTGGTATATTGGGGATATTCAAGGTTCTTCAGTACAGTTGGAATGGATGAATCGAGGTGCGCGGGTTCTGTGGGGTATGAGACACAGCGTGATCCATGATGCTGATGGAAGAGTCCTAGTCCTAGTTGCCTTAGGTACAGTTGGTTTTGACGGGGCGGTCTGGAGTGTTCTGGATGAATACTGGAGAGGTTCAACTGTGTTTCGGGTTCAGTCTGGGTAACTTGGCTTGGCTTGGCCTGACTTGACCGGACCGCTGAATTAGAGAGTACTAAGAGTGTATGTGTTTGCACTGGTTTGGTTTGGTTTGGTTTGACATCGGCTGGGTTGGGTTGGGTTCTGATTCAGCCACCGAGGGCTGGGCTGGGCTGGCTGCTGGTTTGCGCGACATTGGGGGTCTAGACTTTTTCTGGCTTTGTTTTGGATTCGGGGGGAGTTGAGTCGGAGGGTGGTTGGGGGGTGGGAAGATGTAGATGTTGGATTGAATTGACCTGGGGAAGTGTCACTGCTATACTATACCTCTCGTGAGGATAACATTGTCTATAGTTATACTCTTTACTATCTGACATACAGTACTGGGTCCAAGTGGGGCGGGTCGAACCCATACCCACTCCACCTTTCGAACCTCTCGATGTGGGTGGGTCATCTCTCTGCGCCCTACATCCAACATCTTTTGAGGATCTTTCCTAAATGATAGAACTCACAAGAATACTCTCGGATGCATCGGAAAAGACAAATAGTCCGACCTTCCCGGCCTCATATATTCGACTATACCCCGCATGGACCAACTGCATCTGGGACGCCTTCGGCCTGGCCACCATCAGCGTGCGCTCCGGCTCCATCTGCTCGGAAGTGCAGTTCCTTATTGAGAATGATCTAGTATCTTGTATCGAGCACAATAGCCAGGACATCTAGGACTGCCACGCGCACTTCTCCACCCCGCCCACCAACTAGTAGAGAGATGTGCGGGTCGTCTGCGGCACGCTTCGGGGTGAAGCAGAAGGCATTGGACTAGCTGAGAATTTGGGTTCTATGCGGGTCTGATCATGACAGTGGAGACTTTGTGACAGTTTTCTGTACTGCCATGACAGACTCGAACTTCGAGTAGGCGTGGTATTTCGGTTAGCAGCATACCTTTTGAGTATGACAGCAAGACAGCGACGGAAGTGGACGAATTGTTCCACGATCTTGGAATGATGGCGGAGTTCTGGGACTCGCAACCATAAGACGAGATTGTTGTTCAAGATGGCCTTTAGCGTGGTGTTAGCACTTCGACAAAGACCTCCGTTTAGCGCCTAGAAGTAGCCATCAAGAGTAAAAGCCCGCAACTCGAGACATATAACCAACAGGCAAATCGGAGTGACCAGAGTCTCGGTGGGTTCGAATATTGCCCAGGTATATTACTGGTATGGATTCTGGTATGCTGGCTGCTGCGGCTCAAGATGCAAATCTTCAGATCCGTGCACGGGCGGGTCAAACTCGAACAACGGCCATTGCCAACTTTCAGTAGCAGCCAACGGTACCTGCGTATCGCAATTCTGTGACTGAAAAGCATCCAGTCCAGCATCCCGTTTCAAGTTACTCAGCCACACCGGGTTGTCTGCGCACGTCTGATTCCACCCATCGTCACAGCCATACACGATCATGCGCGCATGGTCCTGCAACATCTTATCCGTGGGCACGACTTTACTCTCAAGTTGACGTGTGATATACTCCGTGAGCTCTCGTTGTATCACCGGCCAGAAATTGAGGTTCTCCTGCTCCGGAAGCTGCGCCGGTTGATCGGTCTCCCAGCTTGGCTTGAGCACGGTGATGGCAGAGGCGCTGAAAGGATTTGGCGCCAGCTGCTCCTGGCCGATCAGGTACGGCGGCATGGCGTTTTCGACGAGACGTAGCAACTCGGGTTCGAAGCCCCAATCGCCTTGCCATTCACGCATGTCGACCCCTTGCTTGTAGTGCGCCGCCAGATGATCCGCGCGGGCTGTCCAGCTGTGGAATCGAGCGTCGCAGAACCCACAGCGCGATTTGATGTCGGTAACGCTACTCTTCCACCCGCTCATGGATGCAGCGACAAACTTGACGCTGTGGACGCTGCGCAGGTGCTGGTGGAGATGATCCTTTCGGTAGAAAGTCCTTTCGAGTGGGCTCCTCTCCTGACAAATGGAGTACTCGTGAACATCCAGATGCTCCTGGTCGGGATTAGGATGTAAACAGAAAGCGCAGACATGACCGCCATCCAAGGGAACAATGGCCCCGGACGGTGCGCACCTCCACTCGTCGAGAGGAATGTGCATTGATTTCTCGTGCCGTTGCCAGTCATACTTGGTCGAGAACGTATCCGTGCAGAATGTACACTGAAACCGCCGAGACCCGCGCGCCCGACGCGAGGCTATAGTATTGGCAGGGATGTGAAGTTTACTTCGTCGACTGTGTCGGCGACGACGGCGGTTTTGATCTTGGGATTCAGAGCGCGAGAACGAATGATAAGAATGCGCTGACGTGTTAGACAGACTCGAGGTGGACGATGCACTCGTGTCGAGGCTGCTTCCCGACGACGCCGGGAGTACGCCCCATTGCTCGACGTGAGAGGTATGGCTCGCCCAGTCGACTGAAGAAGCTGAACTGGGATTGGATGAGGTGAAGGATAGTTGAGGGTGAGGCGTAGAAGGGCGTTTCGAAAGCGCCCGAGCAATATCACTGAATGCGGCCGACTCTTCCTCTGGAGGCGAGTTTTGCCAGCGTTCAAGAGGGGTCATTGACGAGGTCATTGACGATGTGGCTGCTTGGATGAGATCGGTCCGGCGTGCAGGGGCCGAATGGGCCTTCTCTTTCTCACGGCGCCTGGTGTTAGCGAGCCAATTACGTAGCTGGGTCGGTGTTAGTCCAGTTCGCAGCAGTAGCTCTCTCCTTTCCTCTTTGGATGGATAAGGATGGTCCTGATGTTGGCTCAGCCATTCCTTCAGTATACGAATCGTCTCCCGCGGGAATTTGTTGTAGTCACTGCGCTTGCGCAGTCTTCGATCGTGGTCACACATGATAGCAGCTCCTTCACCGGCGTTAGGGTCAGCACTTGGAGCTTCTCTGTGAGTATCGCTCCATTGTTGAGATTGGGGGTACGTGTGACTGCTCTCCGGTTCTGGGACGATGCAATCTTTATGACTGCTGCTGTTTGACAACAAGTCCGGCTCTAACACAGAAGAGTCTAGTAACATCTGTCTACAGGAGTCACATGGCTCTGTGATGCAGTTTGAATGGAGCGTGTTCTGGTTGACATCGTTGACATCGTTGACTGGACCATCGAAGATGTCGAGCGGTAGTGATGATTCCAGACCATGCACATCTGGCCAGTTCAGCACCAGATCGACCGGGGCGACAGTGAAATCGAGGTTCTCCATCAGCTTCGGGACGTCTCGTAGTAGGTATATCTCACAGCCTTGACAGAAGTTGATTCGAGGAGGAGGATTCGAAGCGATAGTTAGGTGGAGTGCAAGTAAGCTGCTGACCTGACTTGGAGGGCAGCCTCGGTCGGCAAAGTGTCGCCATTTGAGGCCTCAGGCATCAACGGAGGCTTTCAAGGTTGGTGGATAGTATCTTCCAACAACAACAACAACAACAATTGGGATTCCATCCTGTGAAATTTGTTTGAAAGTCAAAAGTTATGCTCGCATGGGATTTGAACAAAGTCATTTGCCACCCCACTGACTAAGTATAGTACGGAAGACCATTGCGGCCACTCGGCATATAGAATTTTCCTCACTTTTGCCGGCAGATTCCTTATCTGCCGAGTGGCCGCAATGGCCTTCCGTAGTATATGCTTTGTACCAGATCTATGGTTCCGAACTTAAGGGAAGAACTTGAGCCGAACGGAAATGTCCGGGCCAGGATTCCCGGGTCGGCTGCCAGTGGTTATAGAACATTCCTGTATTCAGTCTTTAATTAAGTCTATCTTTGATTCTGCTGTAGGAGCCCTGAGAAGTCCACTCCCTACCTCCTTGAGACTCAAGGAGAATTAACCACCAAGCTCTATACAAACTCCAATTCGTCCATCCATCTATAACAACTTCAGAATATGAGATTCAATCAGAATCGGTGTGGAAAACTCTATTTTACCCCGAGTATTTCTTGCCCCCGCGCAACGAAGCCCCGTACTTGAAGAGTGCCCAAGGGATTGGTAGCAGAAGGAGCGACAGGAAGGCAAAGAGACTGCCCGCCCAGTGCACGCCAAGTTTCTCGTACATCTGCACGGTAAATAGGGGGAACGTCGCGCCCAATATATATCGAATAACTCCATTGGCGGCCAGTGCTACAAGTGGAAATCAGATGAGTCCAAGGCTGTAGAACAAAATAAAGACGGGGGGAGACTCACCCGATGCTGCAGCTCCGGCTTGATAGACATCAACAAGATAGGTGATGGTTGATAGCTAAAGACAAGAAGCTTAGGTTAGTTCCACCATTCTGCATTCACACTAGATCCAGGGTTGCGGCCTGATACTTACGAAAAGAGAAAACGCCCCCACTCCAAAAGGGATCCCTGCACAGACAAGGGCAGCCCAGTGACCGCCGGCGTGAGCTTCCCAAGAGTACCTAAGCACATTCGGAATGCAGTTAGCAAGAATGAACCACATGGATGGTGCAGTCAAGTCTCAAGAGCTTTCGAGCCTTACCAAAATAGCCCCACCGGTAAAAGTACGCTGCCTGCCATAGCCGAGTAAAGGCGATGCTCAGGAGCGGCAACGCCTCCGCCAGCCACACGTGCCCTGACGTACAGAGTCTTGTCGAAAACCCCGAACATGAACGCTGCAAGAACATATCCGACGATCACGCTGATAAAGCTAAGTCCAATCTGCCGCCAGTTGAATCCATAATACACCGTCAAGACGTAGGAAGAGCTGGCGAAATAGCTGAAAATCATGGCGTAGGCGAACGCTGTATACAGGGTCAATGAGAACACGATGACCTCCGTAAACAAAAGCTTCACGGGCCTTCCAAGCCCCGTAGTGATGAAGTCTTGCAGGGAGGGCTTCATGGTGTCCGGCTGCTGTTGCGAATCTTCCTCTTTTCCAGAGTGATTGTTGTTCTTGTTGACCTTGATCAAGATTCTCTCCTTCATAGTTTCCTGCATCAGAACCGCGCCGAGCCAGACCACCGCGCAGAGAATGGCCATGACCCATTGCGTCCATCTCCAGTCACTATCTTGATCCTTCAGAACATAAGCCCCGGCGAGTGGGCCCATCGTGGGCCCAAGGAAAGGACCTAGGATGAAGAGCAAGGATGCAGGACCCCCCTCTTTTTCCAGATCCCAGATATCAGCCAGCGTGCCCGCACCGATCGCAACGCCAGCAGACCCCAAAGCCCCCGCCAGCCCACGGCATACGAGTAGGGTTGCAAGATTGTTCGCGGCCCCGGCACCAGCACTGAATGCTAACAAACAGGACGAGGTGAAGACATAGACCGGACGGCGGCCAATAGTCTCTGATAGCGGTGCTATGAATAGAGGCCCAAAGGCCAGACCAAGTGTGTATACCGTGAGCGTGAGCATGGATACAGTCCGAGATACGTTAAATCTGATCGCTATCAGATCGAGCGCGGCTTCATTGACCGATGTTCCGAACGTGCTGTTTGCCCATGGAATCAGTTCCGTTCTCCTTCCGCTTCTTTTCTGTGGGAAGTGACAAGTGACCCGCAAACTTACATCACGAAGGCCAGAATGCAAGGCACAACCGTGTGGAACAGTTTCTTCCAGATTGGCCAGTTGTGGGGGTTTCGTCTCTCGCGTGGGTCTTCCCAGGGTATCGGTTCAAAGTCTGGCTCTTGGAGAGCAGAACCCTGCAACGTTGCAAGGACATTGGGTTTGATCATTGTTTTGATCATTGTGTGCTATCCTTCGACACTGGCCCGACGAGGTGGGTAGGATGGTCGGGTTGAATTCAGCCTGGATGCAGGGCCTATGCCCATTTGTAGGGAGACAAGGTCTCTTACAGGGTATGAGGCACGGCGAGTTTGACGAGTTTGACGACGTGGGACTCGGGTGAAATTGCATGCAAAGATGTATCATCGTCGTGCGCGTAGCCCCAGCCCCTTATAAAGACAAATGGCTCTCGTATCTTCTTCGAAGTGATACCCACTCATTTTGTCCTGTTGGGTAGTTGGATTGCCAAGGTCAGCTATTGTGAGAATAATCGCTTAGCCATATGCACTAACCTCGGTCTGGAATAGTAATCATAATTGAAATAAGCTTCAAGGAACCTGCTGGCCTTTGGAAGTACCAATGGAATGGGAGGAGTAGATTAGTGTTTATGTGATCATCTCCGATCGATGTGGGGGAGTTCCGCAGGGAGTTCCGCAGGGTGGATGAGCAAATCCGCCGCCAGGTAATGTAATTGGACACCGAGCCGGCGCGACACCAAGCCGGCGGCCGCCGCGCCGCATCTTACACTCCTAGTAACTTAAAATCGAAGAACTTGTTCAAACTGCTTTATATTAAGATATCTTATAATTTTTTTAGTATTTCTTTTTATATATTAATATAGCCGATATAGATAAATATTTAAATCTTACTATTAAGATTTTTAAGAATAGAAAGTTTGTTATAAAAACCGCCTGCGCTGCTATATTTAATATTAAAATAAATACTTTTAAAGATTACTTAAATAGTATTAAACTATATACTAAAAAAGATACTAATTATAGAAAACTATCTGTAATTAAAAAAAATATATTAAAGCAGTAGCTTCTTAATATAGTCTACCGAGGGCTGTTTTTTAAAATCTATAATATTTAATTTTTTATCTAGCTGCTATATTAAGCAAAGTTAAAGCTAAATTAATAAAATATTATATTAGAATATTAGATTATTTGCTTTATTAAATATTATCCGGAATTAATATTTAAGTTTATATTAAAGTATAATTATTAACATACTAAATATAAGAATTCTTATTTTATTTAGAAATAATTTAATCTTATTTATAATATAGTCTAAAAATATAATATTCTTAATAAAAATATATAAAATATAAATAAAACTGGATTTTAGATAGAAGTTATTTTAACTATTTATATAATTTATAGTTTAAAAATATAAGAATTATATACTAAATATATATAATTAAAAAACTATAAATAAGTAACTTTAATTATTATAATCTTAATTTTAAAAATAATACTACTACTACAGATTATTTTTACAGCATAGAATTATTAATTAATATAATATAAAGTCTATCTAAAATTATATTATCTAAATATTAGTAAAAATAACTGGATTATTAATAAACTTAGCTTTAATATTACATTCGACTCCTCGATGCCCTATCGGGCTGGCGGAGTAATACTTTCTCTCACCGCCTTCGGGCTGGCGATGTTATATAGGCAGTCAAGCTAGCAAATCTTAGAAGAATTAATAATTAGTTATTTATTTATTACTTTTTTAAAGACTCGAAGCTAATATTAATAACATATTTTATTATAATTCTCAGTCTATCTAAAAATTATTTACTTAATTAAACAGCTAAAAAAGTGCTTTATATTAGTTTATTTATCTAAATAAATATTTTATTAGTAAAATATTTATAGTATTATCGATATACTCTTTTCTAATCTCTATATATTTATTTATTTTATTTCTTACTTATTTTATCGATTTTATAATTTTATATTTATTATATTTCTTATATATTTTATTACTGGCTGCTATTTATATTTTTTTTTCGCATACTTAAACTACTGTAGGTTATATATCCGACTGAACTTTTAATCTTATTTTTATATAATTAGTTATATATAATTCTATTTACTTCCGAATAATATATATATTAATATATTTAGATAATGTTATTCGGACTGCCTACTAAATACTTTATTTTATAAAAATAAAATATAAAAATACTATAAATATTTCTACTAAAGTTCTAACTGCCGCGCGAATAATTATTTTCTAAATACTATTATAATTTATAAATATTTCGAAAACTCGAAGTAGCCGAAATTATACTATTAAGAATAAATACAACTATTCCGTTAAGTAGATAAATAAGAAGTTTTTTAAAATAATAATTTATAGATTTAAACTTATTATTATATTTTTTTTTTCTATATACTTACTAATATCTATATCTTTATAAATATTTCTTTTTCTATTAATAATATTTAAAAAAGTAGAAACTAATATATTTTTTTAAACTAATACTTTTTTTATTTTTATTCTACCGATATCTTTAGTCGAGCTAATTATATTAATATTAGTTAAAATAGTTTTTAAATCTCTATTTATATTAGTATTATTAGATTCGACTTTCAGACTGTCTTCAGTAGTTTATTTATTTTTTTTAATATTTAAATTTATATTAGACTTATTTATTAACTTACTGATATTAATACAGCAAGTTCGAGTATTAAATAAAATAAAAAAAATTAATTTATTTATACTATTATTAATAAAAATCTTAATTAATTTATTTATAAGCTTATTTATTTT